CAGAAGGTGCGCACCGCCGAAGGCGACGAACGGGTCGACTACAACGCGGCGCTGCTCTACGAGGGTGGCGAGATCGTGCAGACCTACCGCAAGTTGCATCTGGTGCCGTTCACCGAGCGCTACCCGGAATGGGGTCCTCGCTTCCTCCATGACCTGCTGGAGGACTTCGAGACCCACTTCTGGGAGCGGGGCGACGAGTGGACGGTGTTCGATGCCGGCGGGGTGCGCTTCTCGACGCCGATCTGCTTCGAGGACACCTTCGGCTATTTGAACCGGGAATTCGTGAATCGCGGGGCACAGGTGATCGTCAACATGACCAACGATGCGTGGTCGAAGTCCGTACCCGCGGAGATGCAGCACTTCGCGATGGCCGTGTTTCGTGCCACCGAGAACCGCAGGAGCGTGGTGCGGGCCGCCAACAGCGGCATCACCGCCATCGTCGAGCCGTCGGGCCGCATCACCGCTATGCTGGAGCCGTTCGTCGAGGGCACCCTGGTCGGTGACGTGCCGGTCTTCGATGAGGCGCGGACGCTCTATTCCCGCGCCGGCGACTGGTTGGGCGTGGCGCTGACGGCAGCGGCGTTCCTGCTGATCGCAGGCGCGCTGCTGTGGCGGCCGCTCCGGAAGCGTTGACAGAGGCCTGCATGGCGGGATGATGATCGACCCGTGACCCGTGACAAGATCCTGATCGTCGACGACGAAGCCACCAACGTCGAGATTTTCGACCTGATGCTGTCGAAGCTCGGCTTCCATACGGAGACCGCCTCCGACGGCGTAGAAGCGCTGGACAGGCTGCGCAGCTTTCGACCCGCGCTGATGCTGCTGGACAACATGATGCCGCGGATGACCGGCTGGGAGGTGACGCGGAGCATCAAGCACGGTGACGAGCTCGCCGATTACCGCGACGTATCGATCATCATGTTTTCGGCGGCCGACGACGTCGAAGACAAGGTACAGGGGCTGGAGTTGGGCGTGGACGACTACATCACCAAGCCGTTCAACTTCACCGAGGTGTTGGCTCGCATCCGGGCGGTCCTGCACCGGCGCCATCTGCAGGAACAGGTGACGCGCCGAGAGCATCGGATCGGCGTCATCGAGTCGCTGAACGAGTCGCTGATTTTCTTCTCCCAGCATGTGCGGCGGCCGCTCGAGCGGCAGTTGCAGACATTGGACGAGGCCGGGGCGGGAGATGTCGACACCGTGGCGCTCGGAAGGTTCGCGAACCGCGTCAAGGACGACGCGCGGGCCATCCTGGCCAAGCTCGACGCCTTGGAGCAGGAGATCGGCGATTTGCAGCGGCAAGGGGATGAGCTCAAGGCGGGTGACCTCTCTCTCGAGGAGCTCCACCGGCCGCTGGCCGGTATCGCGTCGGCCGGCGTGGCCGGCTCCTGACCGTGCTCGGCCGCAAGAGACCCGAGCGGTTCGCGGCGGAGAGCCACGCTCGACCACGCTGGCACCGGAAACCCATTTGAAGGGACTCCTGAGGTTCGACAGCGCACTGCAGATCAACGGCAGGTTCGACGGAGAGATCCGCTCGGCAGGCCGGCTCATGATCGGTGAGGGCGCGTTGGTGTGTGCCACGATCGAGGTCGGATCCGCGGTGATAGGCGGCACCGTGCGCGGCGATATCAAGGCGATCGACAGCGTCGAGATGCTGGCCACCGCGCGCGTGTTCGGCGACATGGGCACGGCCCGGCTGATCGTGGCAGATGGCGCCGTCTTCGAAGGCGAGCTGGAGATGAGCGGCTCTCCGCAGGAGCGGGACGGGTCGGCGGCACCCGTGGAGCGGTGAAGGGCGCCAGCCGCCGCACGAGCTTGACACTTCGAGCTGCGGGCGAGTAACTTTCCGGCGAGCACTAACTCACTCCTTCCCAGCGCCATGTACCAGGTACGGGCCCGCGGGAGCCCTCTTCAAGACAGGTACCGGCCGGAACGGCCGCGCCGATTCCACGGGGAAGTCCCGGGGAGCATCATGCCGGAAAAAAGCACAAACAGACGTCCACGATCGCGAAAGAAGCTCAGGATCGAAGTCAAGGACGGCTTCGACGGGGTCGATGGCACCGCGGCTCAGCAGACTGCCGTCGCGCAGGCGGAACAGGCGGATGAGAAACAGAGGCTCGCCTCGGGTAGCGACGGGGTCGACGGGATGCCTGCCAACACCCCCGGCGGCGACGTCGCGCCGCGCGAGAAGCTCCTGATCAGCGATCTCGCCGGCAAGGACATCGGGAACTTCGCGCCCAGGCGGCCGCGATCGGGTTGAATTCCGAGAACTGGTCGGGAAAGCGGATCTCATCTTCGGCATCCTCAAGGAGCACACGCACGCCAACGGCGGCGTGATCTACGCCCATGGCGTATTGGAGATACTCCCGGACGGATACGGCTTTCTGCGGTCACCCAACTACAGCTACCTGCCAGGACCGGAAGACATCTACGTGTCGCCATCGCAGATCCGACGGTTCAACCTCAGGACCCGGCGACACGGTCGACGGACAGATTCGCCCGCCCAAGGACGGCGAGCGTTTCTTTGCCATGCTAAAGGTGGAAACGGTCAACGACAATCCGCCGATCGTCGCGCAGAACCGCGTGCCGTTCGACCATCTCACGCCGCTCTACCCCGACGAACGCCTGAATCTGGAGACCGCCGACGGCAACCTGGAAACGCGGATGATGAACCTGTTCTGCCCTCTGGGTAAGGGGCAGCGCGGGCTGATCGTGTCGCCGCCGCGCGCCGGCAAGACCATGCTGCTGCAGCGGGTCGCCAACGCCATAACGGAGAACCATCCCGAGGTCTTTCTCATCGTGCTGCTGATCGACGAGCGTCCCGAAGAGGTCACGGACATGCAGCGCAATGTCAGGGGAGAGGTGGTCTCCTCCACGTTCGACGAGCAGGCTACGCGGCACGTGCAGGTGGCGGAGATGGTGATCGAAAAAGCGCGACGTCTGGTCGAGCACAGGCGCGACGTGGTGATTCTCCTGGACTCGATCACCCGTCTGGCGCGGGCATACAACCAGACTGTGCCGACCTCGGGAAAGATCCTGTCCGGCGGCGTCGACTCGAACGCGCTGCACAAGCCGAAGCGCTTTTTCGGCGCGGCACGCAATGTCGAGCACGGCGGCAGCCTGACCATCGTCGCTACCGGCCTGATCGAGACCGGCAGCCGCATGGACGAAGTCATCTTCGAGGAGTTCAAAGGGCACCGGCAACATGGAGGTGCGCCTGGACCGCAAGATCGCCGACCGCAGGATCTATCCGGCGATCAACCTCAAGCAGACCGCCACCCGCAAGGAAGAGTTGCTGTTGAGCGATCAGGAGCTGGCCAAGCTGTGGATCCTGCGCAAGGCGCTCGGCCCCATGGACGAACTGCAGACCGCCGAGTTTCTGATCGAAAAGATGCGCAAGACCAAGACCAACGATGCCTTCCTGCGCTCGATGAACACCACGGCGGTCGGCGACTGACGCTTCGCAGCTTGGGGGAGCCGCGCAGCGGCGGGACTCCCGCATTCGCGCTCGACCGCGTCACGCTGCGCAATGCGGCCCCGATCCTGAATGGCGTGAGCTGGTCGGCGGAGCTTGGTCAGCGCTGGGCGGTTCTGGGTCCCAACGGTTGCGGCAAGAGCACGCTGCTGCGCCTGCTGGCAGGCCGCGCGCATCCCTCGTCGGGCACCGTCGATCTGTTGGGGCACCGGGTCGGACGGGTCGATCTGGGCCCGCTGCGGCGTGCGATCGCCTGGGTTCACGCCGACTTGCTGCAGTGGATCCCCCGTTTCCAGACTGTCCTGGAAACCGTGGTCGCCGGGATGCGCGGCACCTTTGTGGTGTACGACCGAATCGCGCCACCCGAGGCAGGCTTGGCCAGGGAAGAACTGCACGCGGTGGCGATGTGGCCGTTGCGCGACCGTCGATTCGTCACGCTGTCCACCGGCGAGCGGCAACGCACGCTCATCGCACGCGCGTTCGCCGCGCGCCCGGCGTTGGTGCTGCTGGACGAGCCGTGCGCGGGCCTGGACCCGCGGGCGCGTGAGGAGTTCCTGACCGCGCTGCGAGCGGCCGTCGATCGCTCGTCCGCCACGGTCGTCTACGTCACGCACAGCATCGAGGAGCTGGACGGGTCCTATGACGGAGTCATGCTGATGAAGGCGGGGTGCCTGCGCAGGAGCGGGGCCGCCGGCGACCCAGCTCACCGAGGCGAATCTGTCACGGCTGTTCGGCGTGCCGTGCTCGGTGATCGCCGGCGGCGGCCGCTACTGGCTGCATGTCGGCCTAGCAGAACGATCAGCGCAATGATCAGGGCGACGGGCAGGTAATCGCCGAACGCGACATACGGCGTCATGGCCGGCGTGGCCGGCAGGTACAGCGTGACCAGGGCGGCGTCCGCCGTGAACGGCGGCAGCACCGATCCGGGCATCGGCCGGCCGTACACGTCCAGGGCTGCGGTAATGCCGCCGTTGGTCGCACGCAGCAACGGCCGCGCGGTCTCCACCGATCGGAAGCGCGCCGCCACCAGGTGCTGGGTCTCCGACGACACGGTCTGTGACCAGGAGTCGTTGGTGAGATTGACCAGCAGCTCCGCGCCCGCGCGGACGAAGCGCCGGTTCAGCGCAGGGAAGGCGTCCTCGAAACAGATCGGCGTGGACAGGCGCACGCTGCGGCCGTCGGAAGTGGCGAGCGTGAACACCGTCGGGTCGTCGCCGGCCACCCAGCCGGCGCCGATGCCCCACCATCGAACGATAGAACCGGCGTACGAAGTCGACCTCCCAGAACGGCACCGCCTCCGCGAACGGCACGAGTTGCTGCTTGCGGTAGTGGTCGAACCCGTTCGCTCCTGGGCTGATCAGGAAGGAGGCGTTGCTGTACTCGAAGGCAGCGGGATCGACTTCGTATGGGGCGCCGGTGATCAGGTGAGCATTCAGTGCGCGCAGAAACGGCGCCAGAGGATCGCCGTCCGGGATGAGATCATAGTACTCGGCGTCGGAGTGGCCGACCGGTTGGTAGACCAGGGCTGTCTCGCTCCAGACGACCAGGTCGGGATCGCCCTCGTCGAGCACCCGGCGCGTAAGCCGCATCAGGGTGCGGAGGCTGTCGCTGATGGCTTGGTGACGTGCAATGGGGTCTGCCTCGGGCCATGGATCGTGGTGGTGCTGTATCAGTGCCACGTCGATCCGCGTGGCCGGTCCTGATACAGGCGCCCGAGCCTCCGCCGTGCCGAGCCGCAGGAACCCGTAGCCCAGCGCGCCGATCGCCAGCGCCGCGACCATGAGGTAGGCGCCTACCGGCTGCCGCCGCCACGGCCGCTGCACACCCTCGGCGACCGCGGCGTTGACCAGCGCCATCAGCAGCGACAGCCCCCACACACCGGTCAGCGCGGTGAACTGGATCAGGGGGGTGACCGTGTTCACCGGATAGGCGGCCAGCCCCCAGGGAAAGCCCAGGAAGCCGCCGGACTTCAGGAACTCGTAGACCGTCCAGGCGGCGGCCACGGCGTACGGGCGCAGCCGGCCGGCGGCGACGGCCACGCCGCGCAGCACCGGTCCCAGCAGCGCTCCGAAACAGCGCGTAGCCAAGTACGGGGCCGCCCAGCGTCCAGATCGCGAACTCCTGGAAGTGCAGCAGCCAGTAGTACGACAGCGGTGTGGCGACCACCATGAACAGCACGGCGGCGATCGCCGCCTGCGCGTAGGAGCGGCTGCGATAGATCGACAGCAGCAGCGGCGCGAAGGCGAACGGCCCGAGCAGCGGGTTGCCCAGCGGCGCCAGCTCGTTCGGGAGGGCCAGCGGCACGGCGATCGCCGACACGGCCGCCGGTCCGTACCGATGGAACCACACGCCGACGATAGTAGCTCGCGCTCGCGGCTCGTTCGCGCTAAAGCTGCGGCCGATGTTCGCCGACATGCAGCGCAAGTGGGACGATCTGTGTACGCAATGCGGGCAGTGCTGCTACCGGCGCGACCGGGTGCAGGGCGAACTGGTCATCGACCGCGAATCGCCCTGCCGGTTCCTGGACGTGTCGACGCAGATGTGCACGGTCTACGAGTCACGGCTGTCGACATGCTCGAACTGCAAGCGCCTGACCATCTTCCATGCGCTGTTTTCCCGCTACCTGCCGGATGACTGCGGTTACGTGGAAGCGTTCAGGATATGGCGAAGACCACCCAGCGGCCGTCAGCGTCCCGCAGATCGAAGCTCTGCCCCGAGCGGGATCGACGGCAGCGCCTCCTGATACCGGTCCTCGAAGCTGACTTCGGCGCGGTACACGCGCTCGTCACCGGAGCCCAGCGGCTCCACCGATCCTACCGTGATGATGTCGCCGGCTCGCAGGCCGCGGTACGGGGTGCTGCCGAAGTATCGGTCAGCATAGCTCGCAGCGACTCCCGCGTCACCGACGCGCCGTCCGCGAGCAGCACCTGGCTGTCGACCGCGGCCAGCACGCCGTCGGTGTCCTTCTCCAGGAACCGGTCGGCGCCTTCCAGCAACGCTTGCGCAACCGCCATCCGCTCCGCCCATGTCCCGCTTACGCGTGGCAGCGGCGCGCATCCGCTGTTCGGCGGCCGTGGCCGACTCCATGGGAGCGGGGGACCAGCTCGCAGGGAGCTGCTGTGCGTCCGAGAACAGGATCGCCGAGATCAGCCAGGAGTTCCCTGCGGGGCGCAGCACGAACCGCTGATCCGTGCCCCAGAAAGGCACGTCGGCCGAAAGGTCCAGGCGGGCGTCCATGCTTACCTGGAAGGCGTCGGCCAGGGCGCCGGCCCCCATATCGTACGGTTGCGCCATCACGCTGTCGGTGTCGTAGATCTGGGCCAGCGAGATGCCGGCCAGCGATCGCCGCTGGAACAGCGCGTCCAGTGCCGCATGCGCCTGTGCGCGCGTCACGTTCATTCCCGCCACGTACACCGATCCGTCCAGCATGGACACGATCGCGTCGGCATCGTGCGCCAGGAACGCGCTGGCCAGGCGGAGGAGCTGCGATACCACCAGACTGGAGGTCCAGGCCGTGGTGTCCGCGGGTTCCGCAGGCGCCGGCAGCTCGGGCGGCGTGATATCCCGTGGCTGCGGGTCCACGATGGCTGCCGGATCGAGATCGGGATGCAGGCGCAAAGCGAGCGCAATCATGCCGTCGGCCAGATCGTCCTTGCCGACCTCCCGGTACTGGAGACCTGCCCAAGTAGTACGACTCGGCCATCTCTGCTTTCTTTTCTGCGGGCAGAGCCGCCAACTCGGCCGGCAGGGCGAAGGCCGGCGCGACCGAGATGAGCACGTATGCGACGAGTCCAATTGCGGTTGCGAACCGACGAACGGTAACCATGGCGAACACACTATACCATCGGCTGGGACGCATGGCGAGATTAGGAGCGCAACCGGGCGACTTCCGCGGGTCGCGCGACGCACGGGGCCGAAGCTGCCGGAGACCGGATTCGAACCGGTACGGTCCATGCGGACCAGGGGATTTTAAGTCCCCGGTGTCTACCGTTTCACCACTCCGGCCTGAAGCCCGAGCCTACCGACGGCTCCGTGAGCGGGTCAAACCTCGGTGTGCCAGCCTCCGCTTGATCGCGCCCCACACCCCACGCATTTGACCGCGAGGCCCGTCCGTACTACCGTTGTGCCCGTGTATGCGCTGGTAGAGATCAAGGGGAAGCAGTACCGCGTACGTCCCGGTACTGAGATCGTCGTCGACCGGCTGTCGGAGCCGGAGACGGAATCGCTCGATCTGGAGTCGGTGCTGCTGCTAGCCGACGGCACGGATATCCGGGTCGGCGACCCATACGTCGCGCACGCGCGGGTACGCGCCCGGGTGGCCGGGGAGGAGCGGGGAAAGAAGCTTCGCGTCGTCACCTATCGTCGCCGGAAGCGGACGCAGCGGGACTCAGGGCCATCGACAGCGGTACACGCGTCTGGTGATAGAGGACGTGGTCCTGGACGCCGCCAAGGCTGCGGCGACTCCCTGACGGGCGTGCTCGGCCTGCAGGCGGACGATCCCGGGGAAATCACGTTCCGGCATGCCGGACGCGCACGCGTGCGCGTCGGGACACGCTGGTAAGGGGAATAACATGGCTCACAAAAAGGGAGGAGGCAGCTCGCGCAACGGCCGCGACTCGATAGGACGCCGGCTGGGCGTCAAGCGCTACGGCGGCGAGAGCGTGCATGCTGGTACGATTCTCGTACGTCAGCGCGGAACGCGCGTCCATCCCGGCCCGAACGTCGGCCGTGGCAGCGACGACACGCTGTTCGCGCGGTCTTCCGGTTTGGTCCGATTCTACCGACGCCGTAACCGCAGCTTCGTGTGTATCGATGCCGCCGAGCCGGCGGAGCAGCCCGTCGCGCGCTGACCTCCGCAGGCGCCAGAGGCCGTCGATGGTCCGGTGGCATGCTGAGGACGGCGTGCGGTGAAGACAGCGATCTTCGGCGGCACCTTCAATCCGGTCCACAACGGTCATCTCCATCTCGCGGCAAGCGTGTGCGGGGAGTTGGAGTACGGGCGGGTAATCTTCATACCGGCTCTCATTCATTCCACGCACAGGGAGGACTCGCCGAGTTGGTTCGTCGGCTCACAACCGCGCGCGTCGCGAGGCTTCGCTGGCTCGATCGCCGGACAGCTCGCCTTTTCGGCTGACTCGTGCGAGCTGGACCGTGGCGGCGTCTCCTACACCATCGATACGGTACGTGATGTCGGGGCGGCCCGCGGCCGACTGGGTGTGATCATCGGCGACGACCTGGCGCCGACTATCCGTCACTCCTGGCGTCATGCGCTGCGTCGTGTGCTCGGGAGGCCGATCTGATTCTGGGACGACGTCATGAAGGCAGCGCGCCGCTGCCGTTCCCGCATCGGGTCGTGCACAACGTCAGGCTGCCGCTGTCCTCGCAGCTCATTCGCGATCGGTTGCGCGCCGGCTTGCCGGTCGATCATCTGACGCCGCCCGCGGTCGTCGAGTACATCCTCTCCCACGGGTTGTATCGCGAGCGATGAGGGTGGCCGGTGCCCACCGTGGACGGGCGGTGACCGGAGTGATCACGGGGCTCATCGTGGTCATCGCAACCGGTGCGTTCGCCCTGAGCTTTGCGAGGTTGCGCAGCGACGCGGTGAGCGACCTCATCGATGCCCGTGGACGCATCGCCGTGGTCTTCATGCTGCACATCGACGATCCGCAGCCGTCCTTCGAGGTGCTCATGCTCGACGCCAGGACCGGCCGTGCGCGTCCCTCTGTTGTCGCGGGTCGATTAGCGCGTGGTGCTGCACGACCCACAGCGGATGGACGCCATAGCCGCGCTGTACGGCTCGAACGGCCATGCCGCGCTGGTCGAGCGGTTGCGAGCGCTCCTCGAGTCTGACCGTCGACTGGTCTATCTGACCTGTCGTACGAGCGTGAGCTGGGGACTGGTGGGCTCATCGAGCAATCGATGCATGCGAACGTTACGGCGTCGAGTGATGGTGATCCCGGACCAGCTCCATCCAGGGGTGGCATGTCAGACAGGGTAGAGTAATCGAAACGTGACAGGGGAACGTAAAACACTAGCCTGGCCGTCGAGCACAGCATCGCAGCGTGTGCGACGGTGACGATGCTGCGTGCGGACTACGCTGGCTACGATCAGCCGGGCCCACCGAAGATGTCGTGCCGCCGAGCGCGTCGAACGGGTGCACCGGCTGATGCAGGGTCTGCTGCGATCCGTGGCCGACGGCGGTGCAGTGCTCGCCGACCCGACCGGCCAGCGGTTGCTGTACGATTCGGTCGCCACCGATATGAGTCGGCGCGCCTTCGACAAGCTGCTCGCCGCGCTGGTCGAGGGCTGGACACCGACCGGTCGTCCTGCTGCGGGTGCTGGGTAGAGTCCAGGATGTCGACGACCGCACGCTGCTGTTTCCCTATGACGAGGGTGCTCTGTTGAGAGATATCGTCAAGCAGACCGTGGCCGCCCTGTCCGTGCCGCTGGACGCCGAGGACGCGGACGTGACTCCTGCGGTGGAAGTGCTCAACGGCACCCGCACGAGCGGCCTGGCGGCGCAGGCGGCGACGGTATTCGAGAGCTTCGGGTACCGAATCGTGGCCGTGGACAACGCTGCCCACCCGACTATGAGCGCACGCTGATCGTCGGCGCCGGGGCGATCCGGAACTGGCGCGGCGGGCGGCGGAACTGATCCGATGCGATCAGGGTGCTGCGCCGGAGGCGGACGCACGGGCAATCGACCCATCATCGGCCAGCGTGGACGTCACGGTGATCCTGGGCCGCGACTTCAACGGTCGCTTCTGTCAGGCTCGCTAAGGATTCTGTCGATTGGCGCGTCAGCGGCAGATCCGACAGACTCCTTGGCGGAAAGGTGGGGATGGGCCAACAGCGGAGCCACAGGCGACCGTCTTGACGCGGTAGCATGGCCACCCAGGAGGCAGCGCAATTGGGCCCCGACAGCCTGCGGACCGCGATGACCATCGCCGCACTGCTGGTCGAGCATCAGGCCGAAGAGACGGTCGTGCTCGACGTGAGCCGGCAGAGCGGCTGGACCGACTATTTCGTGATCGCGACCACGCGCAGTCACGCCCACCTGCGCGGTGTGCTGCGTCACCTGGATGCCGCGCTGCGCCGGCTGGGTCACGCAGGCCGGGAGCCCGCCGGGCACAGCCTGCGCCGGGCACCGGACGACAGCGGGTGGGTGCTGGTCGACCTGGGCGATGTGGTGGTCCACCTCATGACGGACGAGCAGCGGCGTTTCTACGAGTTGGAGAGGCTCTGGTTTCGCAGTCCGATCGTGTTCCGTGACGGCGCTTCGCCAGCGGCCCCCGGCGCGCGGCCGTAGTAGGCCTCCTTCAGACCGCCGTCACCGTCGGCGAACGTGTCTTCAAAGTCGTCTTCGTCTTCGTCATCATCCATCTCGTCGTCGTCTCGTCCTCTCCTCGAAGTCGTCGAAGTCGATGATGTCGTCGTCCGCCACGGCGAAGCGTCGTCCGTGGGGCGATGATCCATGCCGGATTCGAGTTTCCGGCAGATCCGGTTCGAACCGGTCATGCTCCGAAGGGACGGACGGTACGTCACGGATTTGGGCGTCAAGATTGGGGGCTTCGAGAGGTGGGGGAGAAGCAGTGGTTTTCAAGTCCTGGTCACCGTCCGTATAATTCTGTGTCGATGGGACGTCGGCAAGCGGTAAGCCACCGGTTTTTGGTACCGGCATTCGCAGGTTCGAATCCTGCCGTCCCAGATGATCCATCGGAGCAAGTAAGTGGAACGATTAGCAATACGGGCCGAAACCAGATCGAAGACCAGGACGCGGGAGGCGCGCCGGCTGCGCCGCGGAGGCCGTGTACCGGCGGTAGTGTACGGCGGGGCCGAGGCCGAGTCGATCTCCCTGGACACGAAGGAGGCGCAGCGGCTGTTCCGCCATGCTTCCGAGAGCACCATCATCTCCCTTTCGACCGACGCGGGCGAACGCGACGTGTCTCATCAAGGACTACCAGACCGACCGCATCACTGACACGCTGCTGCACATCGATTTTCTGGAGGTCGTGGCCGGCCAGGCCCTCCGCACGCATGTCCCCCTGCACTTCATCGGCACCCCCATCGGCGTGCGCGAGGGCGGCATCCTGGAGGCGCTGCTGCGCGAGCTGCACGTCGAGTGCCTGCCGAAAGATCTGCCGGAGAGCCTGGAGATCGACATCGAAGGGCTGGACAGCGGCGACTCGATCCATGTTCGCGAGTTGGACACTCCGGACCGGGTTCGCGTCCTGAGCCCGCCTGATCAGGTGGTCTGCCTCGTCGCTCACCGCGTGGCAGAGGAGGAAGAGAGGAGGTCGATGAGGCCGAGCTCGAAGAGGCAGAAGAGGTCGACGAGGCTACCGACGAGGACACGTAAGCCGGCTACCTCCCAACGCCGCCTGTTGGTGGTCGGGCTGGGCAATCCCGGGCGTCGCTACACGGACACCCGGCACAACGTCGGCTTTCGGCTCGTGGAAGCGCTGGCGCGTGCCAGCGGCGTCCGGCTGAAGCGACACGGGCTCGGCCGCTACGCGGTAGCGCGCGTTGCGGCCGGGGGCGGCAGCGTGTTCCTGGCCGAGCCGCTTACCATGATGAACCGCTCGGGCGACGTGCTGGCCGCCCTGCTGCGCTTCAGCGGCTGCACGTTGGCGCAACTTGTGGTCATCTGCGATTCCATCGACCTGCCGGTTGGCTCGGTACGCTTGAAGCGCTCCGGCTCCGCAGGCGGCCACAACGGGCTGGCATCGATCATCGCCGCCGCCGGCGGCGGCGGCTTCCCCCGGCTCTGGGTCGGCGTCGGCAGACCGGATGCCGGCGGCGACGTGGTCGGCCACGTGCTGGGCACGCCGGACTCGGGCGATCAGCAGCGGATCGCGGCGGCCGAACGCTTCGCGGCCGAGCACGTGCTGCGCCTGGTGGGCGAACCCATCGATCGGGTGATGCATGAGGTCAACTCCTACGATCCAGGCTGAGGTCGAGCGCGCTCTGCGCTCGCTCGGTGTGCGGCGCGGCCAGACGGTGGTTGCCGGGTACTCCACCGGCCCGGATTCGACGGCCCCTGCTGGCGCTGTTGTGCCGGCTGCGCATGCCGCTGGGGATCGAGGTGATCGCCGCGTACTTCGACCACGGACTGCGTCCGCGCTGTGCTATCGACGGGGACATCAGCCATGCACGTACGACGGCGAGCCGTTTGGGAGTCCCGCTGCGAGTCGGCGTTGCGGCCCGGGAGGATCCGCCCGACCCGGGCGGCCCGGAGGCAGCGGCGCGCGGCGCGCGCTACCGCTTCCTGGAACGCCTGGCCGGCGAGTGTCGCGCCGACTGGATCGCGATGGGCCACACCGCCGACGACCGGGCTGAGACCGTGCTCATGCGCGCGCTGCAGGGAACCGGCATCGCCGGTCTGGGCGGCATGCGGGCCCGGAGCGGCCGCGTCATCCGCCCCCTCGGGGCCCTGCGGCGGGACGATCTGCTCTCATGGCTGCGCGACGAGCGGCTGGCATTCCGCCGCGACCTCCAGAACGCCGATCCCCGGTTCACTCGCAATCGGGTGAGGCGCCTGCTGGTCGACGTCGAGCGAAGCTTCCCGGGGGCGGCGGCGCGTCTGGCGGAGCTCGGGCGGCAGGCGGAGGCGACCCAGGAGTTCGTGACGGCCCAGGCCGCGGAACGGTTGCCGTGGAGGCGGACCGCTCTTGGCATCGCCGCTCCCTGGCAGGAATTTCGGGCATCCCCGCCGGCGCTGCAACTGGAGGCGCTCTACCAAGGCTACGATCGGCTGCTGCGCGGCACCGGTCCGCGCCGCCTGCCGCGCCGGTTCCTGGTTCCCGTCCAGCAGGCGGCGGCCCGCGACGCGCCGCGGGTGCGCGCCGCCGGGCACGGCGTGGTCGTCGAACGCGTCGCAGCCTATCTGGTCATGTCGGCCGAGGTTGTCCCCAGTGATAGAACCGGCTATCTTTGGAGGGCCGTAAGGAGCGGATCGTATAAAATACCGGAGACTCAGATCGAAATCCGGAGAGCGGAACCCATCGCTGGCGAACGAACGGCTGCCAGCGCGCTGCGGATCGGATCGGTTGACGGACCCCTCCTGGTGCGGTCGTGTCGGCCCGGAGATGTGATCCGATTGCGTTCCGGCGCGAAACCGCTCGCCGCGTTGCTGCGCGAGTGGGGCGCACCGGAAGCGCGTCGGTGGATGATCCCCGTGGTCGCCGATGGTCGAGGTGTGCTGGCAGTCTGCGGTGCCGCGTTCGGTTACCGGGATGTGCCCAGCACATGGTGTGCCGATGGTGAAGGCAACGGCACCGGCGCGGTGATCGCGATCGGCCGCGTAGAGGAGGAGTCGTGAGCAACCGTTCGCAAGAGCCCAAGAAGCCCGATCCCGGGCTGCCCAAGCTGCCGTTCAACAACCGGGTCGCGCTGATCACGCTGCTCGCACTGATCGCCCTGTTCGTGCTGCTGGTGGTCTACAACAACGAGCGTGGCTTGCCAGGGAGATCGCCTACTCGGTCTTCCTCGCATACGTCGATCAGAGGGAAGTGGCGGAGGTCAAGATCGTCGACGGCTTCGAGATCCTGGGCCAGTTCAGCGACAACCAGGAGCAGTTCAAGACCACCATCCCCTACCACGACCCGCAGCTCCTGAACCGGCTGGAGAACAGCGGCGTGAGGATCACCGGCGGGCCGAAGCCGGTCTCGCCGTTCCGGATCTTCATCGAGTTCCTGCCGTGGGTACTGGGCATCTTCTTCATCTGGTTCATGTTTCGCCAGGTGCAGGGGTCCGGCAATCGCGCCTTCTCGTTCGGCAAGAGCCGCGCCAAGCGCTACCTGGACACCAGCAAGAAGATCAGTTTTAGCGATGTCGCCGGTCAGGAAGAGGCCAAGTACGAGCTCGAGGAGGTGGTCGAGTTCCTGAGCAACCCGGCGAAGTTCTCGCGCATCGGCGCCAAGATCCCAAAGGGGGTGCTGCTGGTAGGGATGCCGGGAACCGGTAAGACCCTGCTGGCAAAGGCGATCGCCGGTGAGGCCAGCGTGCCGTTCTTTCACATGTCCGGTTCCGACTTCGTGGAGATGTTCGTCGGCGTGGGCGCCAGCCGGGTCCGCGATCTGTTCGAGCAGGGCCGCAAGCACGCCCCCTGCATCCTGTTCATCGACGAGTTGGACGCGGTCGGCCGTACGCGCGGTGCCGGCTACGGCGGGGGCCATGACGAGCGCGAGCAGACGCTCAATCAGATGCTGGTGGAGATGGACGGCTTCGACACCAAGGACGGCGTGATCATCATCGCGGCGACCAACCGGCCGGATGTGCTGGACCCGGCGCTGCTGCGACCGGGCCGTTTCGATCGTCAGGTCGTCGTCGATATGCCGGACGTGAAGGGCCGGGAGGAGATCCTCAAGATTCACAGCAGCAAGGTCCCCGTCGGCAACGACGTGGACATCAATCGGGTCGCCCGCGCCACACCGGGCTGCTCGGGGGCCGATCTGGCCAACATCGTCAATGAGGCGGCGCTGCTGGCCGCTCGCAACGGCAAGGATCAGGTGGGCATGGCCGATTTCGAGGAGGCGCGAGACAAGATCATGATGGGCTTGGCGCGCCGCTCCAAGGTGATCCAACCGTCCGAGCGCGAGATAATCGCCTATCACGAGGCCGGTCATGCGTTGCTTCACTACCATCTTGAACACGCGGACCCGTTGCACAAGGTCACCATCGTCCCGCACGGCATGGCACTCGGCGTTTCCTTCTCTCTGCCCGAAAACGACATGTACACGCGTGGCAAGGGCTGGGCTGCTGGACCGCATCACCATCACCATGGGCGGATACGCTGCGGAGAAGCTGCGCTACGGCGAGACGAGCACCGGAGCTCAGAACGACATCGAGCAGGCTACGGAGCTGGCGCATCGCATGGTCTGCGAATGGGGCATGAGCGAGACGCTGGGGCCGGTTGCCTACGGCCAGAAGGAAGAGCCGATTTTCCTTGGCAAGGAGATCGCACGGCACAAGGACTATTCGGAGGAGACCGCTCGGCACATCGACCAGGAGGTGGTCGCCATCCTGTCGTCGCGGCTGCAGACGGCTACCGAGCTTCTCAAAGGCAACGACGATCAGATGCAGGTGCTGGCAAAGACGTTGCTGCAGAGGGAGACGATCGAGGACGCGGAAATCCGCATCCTTCTCGGTTTTCCTGAGCGCGACGGATTCTCGAGCGGCGACGCACTGGCCGAAGGCCGGCCTGCCTGAAGGAGAGACCCGGGAGTCCGCTCGTGCGCGAGCAGTTCCGCAACTTCTGCATCATCGCCCACATCGACCACGGCAAGTCGACGCTCGCCGATCGGTTCATCCAGCACGCTCACGTCGTGTCGGAACGCGACTTCCACGATCGGCTGCTCGACAGCATGGAGATCGAGCGCGAGCGCGGCATCACCATCAAGTCGCAGGCGATCTCGCTTCCTCACGACCACCACGGCACCCGGTACCTGCTGAACCTGATCGATACCCCTGGGCACGTCGACTTCACCTACGAGGTATCGCGCGTGATCAGCGCCTGCGAAGGCGCTCTTCTGCTGGTGGACGCGACGCAGGGGGTGGAGGCGCAGACCCTGGCCAACTACTTCCTCGCCCTCGAGCACGACCTGGAAGTGATTCCGGTGATCAACAAGATCGATCTGCCGGCAGCGGACATCGATCGGACCCGCTCGCAGATCGAGCGGGATCTGGGGCTCGACGCGGAAGAGGCGGTGCTCGTCTCCGCCAAGACCGGTCAGGGGATCGACCGGCTCCTGGAGGCGATCGTAACTCGCATTCCGGCACCGGATGGAGACCCGGAAGCGCCGCTGCAGGCGCTGGTATTCGATTCCGCCTACGATCCGTACCGGGGCGTGGTGGTGCACGTTCGCGTGGTGGCAGGCCGGATCGTCCCGGACGCGCGCATCCGTTTCTGGGCGGGTGACGACGCCACCTACCGCGTGGAAGAGCTGGGTCTGTTCGGCATCAAGCCGCAGCCGACGGCCGCCCTGAACGCCGGTGAGGTCGGCTACCTGGTAGCAGGGATCAGATCGGTGGGACAGGCGCGCGTGGGGAACACCATCACCGAGGCCGAACGCCCCTGCGCGGCGCCGCTGCACGGGTTCCGGGAGGCAAAGCCCGTGGTCTTCGCGGCCATCTATCCGCTCGATGCCGATCAGTACGACGAACTGGCTGCCGGACTGGCACGGTTGCAGCTCAACGACTCCACGCTGAGCTTTACCAAGGAGTCGTCGGTGGCGCTCGGTTTCGGCTTCCGCTGCGGATTCCTCGGCCTGCTCCACCTGGAGGTGGTTCAGGAGCGGCTGGAGCGGGAGTTCGGCCTGGGGGTGGTGCTGACTGCCCCGTCGGTCGAATACCGGATACGGCTGCAGGATGGTTCGGAGTTCAGCGTGCATACGCCTGGCGAGTACCCGGACCCGGGAACCATCGAGCAGGTACAGGAGCCGTACGTCAGGGCTTCCATCATCACGCCGTCCGAGTACATCGGCGCGGTCATCTCCATCTGTCTGGAGCGCGCGGCATCCAGCAGTCGCTCAACTATCTGGACGAGACGCGCATGGAGCTTCGCTTCGATCTGCCGCTGGCAGAGATCGTCACCGATTTCTATGACCGGCTGAAGTCGGTCACGCGCGGATACGCATCATTCGACTACGAAGTCGCCGACTACCGTGACACCGACATCGTGCGACTGGACCTCCTGTTGAACGGCCAGCCGGTGGACGCGCTGGCGCAGTTGGTGTACCGCGGCTCGGCGGTGCGCCGTGCGCGTGAGGTGTGCCGCAAGCTGCGCGACCAGATCCCGCGTCATCAGTTCAAGATTCCGATCCAGGGAGCGATCGGCGGTCAGATCATCGCCCGGGAAACGATCAATGCCTATCGCAAGGACGTGACCGCCAAGCTGTACGGCGGCGACATCACCCGCAAGCGCAAGCTCCTGGAGAAGCAGAAGGCCGGCAAGAAGCGAATGAAGGCGGTCGGAGCGGTGGAGATCCCCAAGGAGGCGTTCGTGGCCGTGCTGCGCGGTGCCGACGCGTAGCCGGCAGCGGCCCGTTATCCGCCGCTGCTGCCCGTGATCGCCGCGAACGCCTGACTGAAGGTGTCTTCCAGCAGCCCGTTGGTGTTGACCCACCACTCCAGGTCCGCGTTGCGTGCCTGTGCGATGAACAGGTCCAACACGCTTTCTCCCGCCGCGCTCCGCAGATTCTCCGACGGTATCTCCCGCTCGTCCAGAAAGCTGAGAACGATCACCTGATCGGGAAGGCGGATCGCCTTCGACACGTCTCCCGCGTCGCTGCAGCGCAAACCCCTGCTGGAAGAACTCTTCGAAGTTGGCGGCGCCTGCCAGCAGCGCCAGCTCACCGGTCGTCGCGACGGGTCGCGGCGCGGCTCCGTTGCGGTAGTTGATCGGAAACCACTCGGTGGCGTGCACGGTGAGGTCGAGCTCGGAGGCGGCCGTGTGAAAGTCGCTTTGAGCCGCCGCGACGCGGAATCGGTCGGCTTGAGCCAGTAGGTAGTTCTCCACCAGGCCGCGCTCGGCCGTGGTCAGGTAGGCCCGGATCTTCGCGATGGTATCGGTGTCCGAGAAATCCGGCTGGACCACCCGGCTGTCCGCCCGGTAGAGATAGCGGGTTTCCTCCACGCCACTCGCAAGCACCTCGGAGACTTCGCCTTCGGCGAGGGCGAAGACCCGCTCCGCGGTCTCCGCATCCGTGAAGTCCTGGCTCACCTGGTAGAAGTAGCGGAAGCCCAACTCGCCGCCCTGATCGGCGAACTCGTCCTGCGAGTGGGCGCGCGCCTGATCCTCGAAGGTGGCGGTGCCGGAGACGATGCGCTGCCGGATCTCCTCGGCGGCGTCGACCCCGCCTCTGATCTGCATGCGGCTGAGGTCCACTCGACGAAAATCGGCTGCGTTGGCTTCGCCGTAGGCGGCGACCTCGGAGTCGGGGTACGCGTCGTCGGCCAGGCTGATGAACTCGAAACGGCGCTCGTCCCTGATCATCTCCTCGTAGAAGGTGACCTCATTGCCGCTGCTCAGGCGTCCGCGCGTCAGGTCGTCCGCGTAGCGCTGGCGCACCAGCAACTCTCGCAAGCGCTCCAGGTTGCCCTCGCGCGTCGCCACCGGCATCTCCTCGAGGTCTTCGTAGGACGCGATCGAAGTGATGAGCGCCTGGTCGACGCGCTGCTGCGATACGTGAACGCCGCCGGCCAGGGCGGCATGCACCCGGGCGGTGTGCAGCACGGTGTCGTTGAACGCCTGGCGCCAGACGCCGTAGGCAAGTATCCGCTGATCGACGCCGTCGGGAAATCGCGAGGACTGGTCGCGGTAGTGCCACTCGTACGAGGCTCCGAAGAAGTTGTTCGGCGTGAAGGTGATCTCCTGTCCGTCGTAGGTCCCGAACACGAGCGTCGACCCCGCATCGCCAAACCCGGAAGGGGCCAGCGTACCGATCAACGACACGCCGATGATGACCATTATCACGATGCTGAACCCGTAGAAGAGATACGACCGGTTCTTGCGTGCCTCTACGGACAGCGGGTTGCCGTCCCGCGCCATGGACGACCAAGATAGTCGCGCGGTCAGTGCGCTGTCAACGTGAGCGGGTTGTGGCCGTACTGAACTGAAACGACCGACGTGGCGGGCCTTGACAAGCGCGTCGCGGCGTCGCACCCTCCGGCTCTCTTCTGGGGGCGTGGCGAAGCTGGTTATCGCGCCGGCCTGTCAAGCCGGAGGCCGCGGGTTCAAGTCCCGTCGCTCCCGAAACAGAACTGCGGGCTGTGGCGCAGTGGCTAGCGCGCTCGGTTCGGGACCGAGAGGTCGGGAGTTCGAATCTCCCCAGCCCGACTCCCGCGCGCAGGCCCTTGCGTCCCCTCGCCGCGTTCGGCGAGCCATTCCAGGCTTTGATCGCAGGGGCCTCAACATCAGGTCGCCGGCAGCCGAAGATAAGGGAGTCGTGGTGCGGGCGCTCGTGTTGTTGTCGATCTGCATTGGTGCCGTCGGCTGTGCCCACGGGCAGGAGCGCTACTACGTCATGCAGCGGGGCGACACGCTGTACAGCGCCTCGCGTGAGTTGGGCGTACCGGTGCAGCAGCTCATGACGGTCAACGGCATAGACGACGCCAGGAACGTAGCGGTGGGCACGCGTCTCAAGCTGCCGGGCGTGGAGGGGGGATTGCGGCCGCTGGTCGCCGGAACGCAGGCGGTCAGCCGAACGTCGCAGCCCCTCGTTGGCCCTTCGGGCAGCCGGTCTACGCTCTCGTCGACGCCGCGCCCGGCGCAACCTGCCGCGGGGCCGTCCATGCCGGTCACCTACGCGATGGCGAAGGGTGACACGTTGTACTCGATCGCGGCCCGCTTCGGTCTGGATGTGGCCGATTTGATCCGGATCAACGACATCGACGACCCGCACGACCTCGCCACCGGGACCGTGCTGACCCTCGAGGGCGCGCGCCGCCGCACGGTGGCCCTGTCCGGTCCGGTGCTGTGGCCCACTGACGGCGAACGGCAGCCACTCACCGGCAAGCTGGACGGCGTAGCCATCCGCGGCGCTGCCGGGCAACCCGTGCGGTCGGTCTCCTCCGGGACCGTCACCTGGTCCGGGCCTCGTCGCGGCTACGGGTACGTGGTGCTGGTTCGCAAGGACCGCTACGTCTACGCGTACCTCAACAACGAGCAGGTGCTCGTGCAGGTCGGCGACCGCGTACAGGTCGGATCGCAGATCGGCCAGCTAGGGGTCAACCCGCACGACAACACCGTACGGCTGTACTTCGTCGTAACGAAGGACGGGCGATTCGTCGACCCCGGGTCGGCACCGCGTGCCTAGCGCGCGAAACGCCCCGATCACGGCCGATCAGGTCTTCCGGTTCGGATCATCCACGTCGACCGTTCGCTTCGTCCCGACGCTGCGGCCGACCGATGTCGGGCCGCCGCACGACGCGCTGTTGGTCTGCGACCAGCACACCGCGCCCCTGCTCCCGAC